TCAAGAAGTTGCTAATGGACCTTTTGTTGAGTTCAATTTATTGAAAACCAAGAAAGCAGATATTTTTGAAGAAATTAGAGCTTTATCTATTTTAGTGTTAACACCATCTCCTTTGGATTACAAAAGGCAGGAATATCTTTATCATAATATTCGTCCATTTGTGAAAGATGAATACAAAGATATTACTTGTCCAAGACCATTCTATACTGGCAACAAATAAAATATTTAGAATAAAATCATTTCACCCATTAATTTGTCCCTTACTGTCATTAAGTTTAATAAGTTTAATAGTACTAAAATAATTTATATACTTAATATGCCCTTATAAAAAGGATATAGGTATATTAAAAGAATAAAAAAAAGTAAAGTCATGACAAACATCATAGAAGCACAAAAAAAAAATAAATAAAAAACTATTAGAAGAAAATGAAAATTTAAAGCAATTAGCAAATAAAGAAGAAAATTTTAAATTAAGAATTATAAATGCAGTTAATAATGTTATAAAAACTCAAAAGTGCTAGTGAAAATATTTCTTATTTAGAAGCCCGAGTTGAAAAGTTAGAGGAAGAGTCAAGTCAAAAGAGTAAAAAAATAGAAAAACTAAGCAAGCAATTATCTGATAATGAATCACAAAATGAAAGTTTAAAGAGTTAACACTATTTAAACAGTAAACCTTTACATGCTTTACCTATAGAAGAGGAAAACAAGGCTTCAGTTAAACAGAGTATGTTTAGGCAGTTAAAAACAAAAGCAAAAATTAAGGTTCAAAAATTACAAAAGCTAATCAAAAGGGATATTTTTCACAACCAAGAAATGATTGCTCAAGTAGAGGTAAAGTCTAAGTAACGGTAGATTGCAATGAGAGAACTGGAATACACAGTTTTGAAGTTGGAGAAAGAAAGTAAAAAAACTTGCAATTTTTGCTCTAAACTTGAAAACAGAAATAATGAATCTATTCATCAAATAAGAGTCTGTAGTAAAATAACTGGGAAGTGAATTTCAGATGATGTAGTTTGTGAAAAGTGTGAAGAAAAGTATTGAAATGATGAATTATTAAAATGTAATAGATGTGGTAGATTGCAAACTAAGTTAGATTTTGATATTGTTGCTGGTAAGAATGCTTGCTACTGTGTTAGAAACAATGAAGACTTGGAAGAGAAGGAACTTTCCCTCTTACCTGATGAAGAAATAAGTCAGTCTGCTTTTTATGAAAGACAAATAAATTCTTTACGTGAAGAGTTAACCACTACTGAAGAAGCATTGGAAAGAAGTAATCAAGTTCCAAGAAAAATCTGAAAAGGAAATCAATGATTTAAAAGTTCAATTAACCCAATTGCAACAACAGAATGGTCAAATTGCTCAAATTGAAGTTAAAGAGACTAAAAGATGATCTTGATTGAAAATGAGAAAGTAGTTTAAAGAATATTCTATATAAATTGAAATTCATTCCAACTATCAAAGAAAATGGTAGTTATTTTCCTTTTAAAGATTTTTGCTTTTTATTAGGTAATAATGCATCATCATGATGCTTTCTTTTTCCAATGTTTATTATTTTTCTTTCTTCATGGTAAATTTCATAGGTAATCTTTTCTTTTCTTAGATAAGCTTCAAGTGTTTGAGTATCATTTATTTTGAAAATGTAAGGTGCAATTTTTTCACCTTGTTCTTTCTTCAAAATACTTTTAATAGTGCTGTAATTTTTGGGTTCCATAGTAGACCTGATATAAATGAGTTTCATATTAACTATTTTTATATAGAGGTAATTAATTCTACATTTACTTAATATCAAGAAGATAACAAATGGGAGATTTTAATAATCACATTACTAAATTTTGAACCCTGAAATTCTGGTAATACCAATGTTGTCTGGTTTTGTTGCCCCATATTATGAATGTTATTTATGCTTTCCGCCTATCGTCATAGATTTCTATATTGGATCAAGTCCAGTATTTGATTTTTCGAATATTCCTGATTTAATGTGTCTGATGACTACGCACGGTTTTTATCATTAATAAATAACGATTTATTATTGTATGTATAACAAGATAATCTTCTATAATGACGTAAATGTTGTGCTTGTGAAAAAAACAATACATGTGTCGTCGTCGTATAACAAGATTTGTTCTCCCAAATTCAAATTTTCTCTGTTGTATGTCATCCATTAATAATGTATTATTATAAATAAAACAACAGCAGTTATTATTGTTACATTACACATTAAGCGAGAATGGAATTGGTCAAACCTTTCAATAATTGATCTAATTAAAAAATAAAATTTGATATCTAACATCTGACAAAATAATTAAAATTTTTCCCTAGTTGCATATGTTTACTAACAATAAAAGTAAATAAAATAAATAGTAGTTTATTATATAGTTTATAAACTAAAAATATTATAAAACCGATGAGATTTCGCTCTCTCAAAAAAAATTTATAATTTTTTTTAATTGTTCTACAATATTATTATAATAATAATAAATCAATAAATATTTATTTAAAAAAATTTAAGGTAATTTTCAAATACTTCACTTAAATTTTTTTGATAAAAGGCACCAATTCAAATTATTATTATTGAGTGTCAGTAATGACTTTAAAAAAATGATCTTTCTTCCTGATGATTTTAATAAACCTATTTCTAATAAAAAAAATTAACAAAAAAAAAAATTTGAAAAAATTATTATTATACTTAAAGCTGCAGTAAGCAGCATGGTATATTATATAACATTATATAATTTACAATATATTTTATTAATCTTTTAATTTTTATTTTTATTATTTTTTATTTTAGATTTTTCTTTTACCAAAAAGTAAAAGTAAAGCCAACGACGTTTTAAAACAACAACAACATCAATTAACGACATGTAATTATTCTCAAATAAATTTATTAATCAATTTAATGCAAAAATTAATCATTGATTATTTTATTTCTCTCCTCATCCTTCGTATTCTTTATATACAGGAGTCCAAGTGTTCATAATAAGCAATTAGTTGAAGTCACTACAAAACAAAACTTTGTTAAAATTCCATCAAAATCTATATCAACTACTACTACTAAAACCACCAATAAGAATTCAACAACAACAATAGTTGTCGATTCAATTAAAAATTCGGTTATCAAAGATATTAAACAAGATGAACAAGAAATAGTCGAAGTTCCAATCTCGGAACCATTTAACTCATTTTTAAATCTTAACACTCACGACACCATCACGCCTTCAAATATCAACATGTACACTTGTCCAAATTGTCATACACCAAATTCAGTCAATGATGTTAAAAATGATGATAATAATTCAGTTAATGGTGATTTTTATACTTGTTTATCTCATGGAAATTATGGTTGTGGATGGGAAGGTGAACATCTACCAAATGAAGAAAATATAGCAAAGCATGTATTTTCAATTATTGGATTTAAACCATTAATAATTAATTAATATGATTTTTGCTTATCCGTTTATAAGAATTAATTTACAATTTTTTTTTTTTGAATAAAATAAATAAAATGCTGTAATAAACATTAATTAATAAATGTATAAAATATTATTTATTAATAAATCACCTGTTATATATATTTATAACTCAAATCAAATTTATTGATATTAATATCGATAAATATGTAAAATGACATTTTATTACATTCCAAAATGCTCTTTTATCTGACATTACTGAAACTTTTATTTTATGACTTTTTTGCATTATTGTGTTTCATTTTGAACCAACATAAATTCTGGCGGAAAGAGTAATTATCGAGGTGTGATGTTCAACCGGAAATCCCTCGGGTAGGAAAACATAGTGGAAACGACCGTATCCAAGTAAAAGTAGTAGTAGAAATCCAATAAATGGCTATGATATATTATGTAGAGAAAAAATAGCATTGAAGAACTTGAAAAGAGGTTGTGAAGTTATTCTATATTAAACGCGGCAAATAGAAATTTGGCAATGAGAAAGCAAGCAAGGAAAACAAAGTCTCGAAATTATAATTGATCGTCACGTACGCCCAGGTTTTGATCATCATTAAGTGTCACAATTCGTCCAAGAATGTATATTAATATACATAATAAAAAGCGGAGGATACCAACCAAATTTGCTAATCGAGCATCTTTGCTTAAAGAAAAAAAGTTTACTATGGGGACGCTATAGCCAGATCGCCAATTTTTACTATTTTACTGTTATCTCATTGTTTATTAAGAGGATTAGTAATGAATCACAAGGTAGTCTATCGTGAATGAGTCGGAGTATCCCAAGTCTGTTAAATATAATACTAAACCCTTAATTTTTTTACTATGAATCTTTTGTGTAAAGGCTGACAATGGAATCTTTGGTAATACTAGTTTTTACAGGGCATGAATAATAAATTAGATTTCAAGATGCTGACTAACTTGGCTTTACCATTTACCAATAATAGAGAATAAATGAAGAAATTTCATTCAATAATAAAAATAATAACACGAGCCGGGATTACTATAACACATTATTTGATACTTCCCAATGTTGAATTTGAGCAAATTCGTTCGTATAATGTAAGATATTATTGCTCAAAATTATTTATTTCTATTTAGAGAAATCGAATCAATAGAATAGTGATTTTATTTTCTAACACCAAATAAATATGTTTCATTGCATTTATAATACAATTTTAAATTTTATTAAAGGAATTTAATCAATTATCTGATATCTAATTGAATATTACTATTAGTAAAAACAATAGTATGCTTTGTAATCATAATATTTTCATTATTTACGTATTAATGTGTTTTATTGCTTTCATTCTTTTCTTCCTTAATTATTTCTTCTAGAATTTTTGGTGAATATCAGAGCTAGTCGCGTACCTTAAACAAAACTTTAGTATTAGTCACTTTTGGCGAAACCGAAATTAGTGAATAAAGTTTCGTCAGCTGACGAACAGGAAGTGCGGACAAATTTCACTAGGATTATCCTATTACCATACGAGATGAAGTAGGATAATCCTATGCGGGTTATATAAGGACCCCGGATTAGGTAACATCCAGGCTATTAGTAAAAATTTTAGAAAACTATCCAAAATTAGCATGTAACATATGAAGTCACATGCCTTATATGGGTGAAACTTTTAATTTTTGACATATTATATGCTAAAAATTACCATTGAAATACATTTTTATCTAAAGAACTAAGAAAACCATATTAATATAGTTGTTGGATGTTCTTTAAATAAATAAATCCATATCTGAATCTGCAATTGTGAACAATAATTAGTGGTTGGTATTAGTAATAAGAAGAGTCATTAGAAAATTTACTTAAAATGGAAAAGAACATAAAACTTTCTATATTAATAACAATTACAATTTAACCCTTGCCTATTTTTATATTTTAGATTTTTTTGCTTTACCAATCATTTCATATTGATATGACATAAAATCGTTTTACCTGATTTTGGATATGACTTGTAATAAAAATTTTCTGCTATACCCAAAATAGTCACATCACTTATTACCCCAATTTCATCAGCAAAAAACTTGATCAAAATCGGATATTGATTGTAAATAATCCGGTTCCAATCTCTATCTCAGCTAAAGCCATGCGGTATATATCTATCTACATTTAGTCCAATAAAATTTTTTTTTAATAAATTGCTAGTTTTTTTAGTTAGAATTGGATATAAAAAGCATTTACAATGCTTATATAATACTTATTATATGTGATGATACCATATGCATCAACATATTGTCAACCTTGGATCATTCGAATTATTAAATCTTAATCTGCATCACTTTTGTTTTTTGGAATGTCTTCTATACAATTTCTATGCTCTTTGTTGGCAATATGTGATCTATCAATGAAATAAAGGTTTTTATAAGTCAACAAAATTTAAAGATCTGATCTATAAAAATGATGATTACATAAATATAGGTGCATAAACAGTTTAGCAGTGCAATTTTTAGAAAGGAATCTTTGAAGTAAGATTCATCTATATAAAACAAACTAAATAAGAAAGTGCTTATATTAATAAATAAATAAATTCCTCACTTAAATACGGAAAAGATGAAATTTCTAATGACTCGTTAATCATATTATTATGATCAGATATGAACTATTTTGCCTGTGACTTGTTTTTTCGTAGTGTTAAAATTTTTTTATAAGCTTCTGTATTGTTTTTGTGTTTATCTTCCATTAAATGAATTCGTTTGTTGCGTAATGATAGTTTTCCATTTAAATTAATGCCCTTGGAGTCATTTTGAAATAAATTTGTGAAAAAGTATTATCATAAATCTGAATATGCATTATTTCATCACATCACGAATACTGCCCAAGTCCTTTGTTATTATAAACACATATATAATTTTTATAAATATATTTATACATCTCATTGTAATATTCAGACCAAAACTCTGCTCATTACTACTAAAACTTAAAAATTTAACAGATTTTGATTTTGATTCTGAATAATAATGTTTGTTTTAAAGATGGTGGTGATTTACTAATAAACCAGTAATTATTCATTTGCTGGGCGACTTTGTCGTTTTGGAGTATACTATTATATAATAAATATATAATTTAAAAATATTTGTTTATTAAAATGTTATCAATAATATTTGTTATTTATTTCTTTTGTTGACGAATTGAATAATTTTATATTTAAAATAAAAAGAAATACAAAGTTGTTGTTTTTAAAATTATTTTTGATAATAAAGTTAGACTTTTATTAATATTTAAATTTTATTTTTCTCGCCCTCTACTCGTTAGTTGTTTTTGTTTTACTAAGACTTTCTAGATTCATTTTAACTATATAGTGAGAGAGAAAATATTTTTGAATAATAGATATATAAAAATTTTTTTTGTTGATTTATATTATTAACCAAAAAAACTGATCAAATTTATTCGTGAACCCCAGAAACCTGGATGTATTTTTTCTTAAAAGCTTCATTTCTTGGTATTATTATTACTCGGACGATGAAATTATTTATTATGTCAATGATATCATCATAAAGATCGTAAGGAATATAAAGGTATTCACCTAAGATAAATATAAAAATATAAGATAAAAATTTCCAGAGCAATTGCATGGAATTCAAGACCACACCAATTGTGCCATGACATCAATAGAGGGTAATACGATATTTTCATTCCATTCATCTGCTTCTGGTAATGCAATTATCTTATTAGAGGTCTGCATGGGTCATCATAATTGAATGATTTGCCCAACCTGAACCCGTATAAATTTATAATTTGCAACCCGAACCCGACTTATTATACAAAAAAATTATAAAAATCTCAACCCAAGCCCATTTTTTATTAAACGACGTTGTAACACAATTTTATTTATAAAAAAATACTATCAATTGTTTGTGGATTTAAACTTGAGTGAAGCTCAGTAACTGTAAGTCCAGCTGCACTAAACTCTCTTTTGTTAGGTGCATTGGAACATGGAATTGAAAGATAATATATTACATAAAAATTAACATAAGTAAAATCAACATATGTAAATAAAAAAAAAATCAGACTCTTTTAGGGGAGTGATTAGTGGCCCTAATAACCTTTCCAGGTAAACTGAACACTGATAAATTTGACATTAACCCTGGAGAAAGGGATTAACAGTTTTCTTGGTGATTTCAACACGATCAACAGATCCTTCAAATCGCACCTATTATTCCAATAATTAATGCACTGCAGTAAATTTATAACTCTTGCAGAAAAGCATAATCGTAAAAATAGAATGTGTTTTCACCTTACTTATAAATATTTTTTGGATCCCGTCTACCAACTTATCAATATCCTGCAGAATTGTTGGTATCTCAAAATTATCAAACTCAGTCTTCAGTCTTAATTATTCGTTTTATTCGAATAAACATTCAGTGTAATAAAATTCATGATAATATTAGTAACGAATAAACAACAACTTTTCAATGATAACATTTGGATTTAAAATATTTGCACGAAAAATTGCCACTATTTAATTTATTAGTTTGTAATCTACTATATCTTGATATCTTACGACTTCTCTTCAATGATATATGTGACAAACTTTGCCTGAAGCTTTATTTGCTAAGGATCGAGGTTTAAATTATTCAATGATGATGATGGAACTTTCCAATAGTATTAAAATGGCAAAGATGGACAAATTCTCTTTTATTTTTTCTTAATAATTCAAAAAATTTCCTTTTTTTCAAAGACTTTAAGTTAAAACGTCGCAATGAGCGATCGGCGGCACGTACACGAATTTATTTGTAAGTATTTTAATATTAATATTAATATAAAACAAAGCAATAATAATAAAACAAAAACAGGACAAAACGACGGATTGTTTTTCTTCTCGGGATCAGTAAACGTCAATTAATATTAATATTAAATAGCTTGCTTGTTAAACCTTTTTTTTTAATATATATTGCAAAAAAAAAATTTACAAATGCAGTGGCAGTAGAAAATATTGATTTGTTCCATAACATGATAAATTAATTTTTTTTTACCTCCCTATCAAATTTGCAACCCTTCAGTATTAACCTTTTCCAATCTTTTATATTCTTCTAATGCTGCTTTAGAGACCTTTAATTGAGCAGAGTCAAAAACTGAGAATATGTAAGTTTTTTAACGAAGGAGCTCAGCTCATTGCAATGTATATTTGTTCATCAGCAAATATGTTCTTCATCAACATTCAACAACATGGTTGGGCTTGTTTTATATATGGCCCAAATGGCCAGCAATTTGATTCAATTTTTTGGCTTCCACTAATTACACTATCAGTGGAAAAGACGGTCTTAATGAAGCACGTAGATAAAAAAAATGGATGATGTGTTTTTTTTTTTTTTTTAACAAAAGAATATTATGAATTTGATCAATTAACATTCCTTCATTTTATATTCATTTTTTATTACTCGGATTTAGAAGGCATTTCTTAAACTAAAGCTTAATTCTATTTTAAGAAATTTATTTTTATAAATTAATTAAAATGTTGAAAATTTAACAGTGGCTTTAATTATTTAAACATAAGTTTATCTATTATTATATAAATCAAAGGATGGAAGGGATGTGATTCATAGTCGGCTTAAGCTTTTTTTTATTGGTCTGTCATCTTTTCTTTCTTTTATTATAATAGAACCTCCATCCGTTAAAAAAAATTTGGCAGCGCTTAACTTTAACTACTCTATACATTTTCGTAACACGATTTTTTTTCGAAAAATTCCTTTTTTTAAACAAATTCTATATGAAAAAATGGCCGAAAATCTCCTTTTTAAATATGTCACACTACATTAAATTCATCATATTCTTTCGTTATTAATGTTAATATTAATATTAATAAAATCCGTTAAGACAAACATTTTTAATTAATATTAATAAAAAAGGGGCTAATACTTAAATCCGTTGTGACGAGGTTTGACTGTAATAATAAAAATTAAATGATGGTTAACCAGTTAAATTAACCGGCCATTTTCCAGAGGTAGAATAACTTTGCAGCTTCGCGTGGATGATCAATGTTCATTCCAAGTTTATTACGGCTTGATCTGAAATTCATCCATCCCCAAGATGGGAGCATGCCGTCATAACCAAAAATTGTCACAGGCGCCTTCGTTCACAGTATCTGAAACTAACGTCTGTGAATTTATTAGTATAAATTGTATCCTCCACAGAAAGTTACTTTAGCCTATAAATAAATTATTTAATAATAACAATCGCTTAGCCTCAATCTTCTGTTGGTGCATGCTAAAACCCTACCGTACTATGCCATGATTACTCATTAGCCCCATTAACATAAACCAAATGCCTGCAAAGGAATATATTTGGACGCTCGGCATCCAAACTAGCCCTGCGAGTGCTCGAACTTCCCTCAAGATTCTGTTTGTTACACGACCAGGTTTAGATTACTACCCCGGATCGCCACCTGACAAGTGAGTGGGTTGGTGACTCCTCTAAATTTGAGTCTGTCGGTAGTTCTGAAAGTACAATTTAAAAATGGAAACATAACCTTAAGTATAGGGGAAAATAGGATTATAACAACTTGCAGCGATTATATATAGTACAATATTGTAGTGATGATCGTGTCAACTTCAATAGGTATGCCCTTACACTTTCCACTCAACTGCTTTATTGCATTATGTGTTTTGAAAATACCTAGGACATGGTTACTTTCACTTCCACCAACACCACCATATTACTACAACTACAACACTAATAATACCAAAAATGAAACCTTAACAAGAGAATCATGGTATAATCCACCATGCAAAATCCATGAGAAATCAATGACTGAAAAAGTCAATGTTTGCTCAGAAATTTGTAAATACATTCTATTCCTGCTAACGGATCCAGATTATTTTTGCTTTAACAGTTTACACACAAAACTCAAGGTCTAACATTGCCACATGTGACTTTGAAAGTATGCGAGTGAGCAAATCCCCTCCTTGGGATTTGCTAGATGTTCTTTCGTTTTGATTTCAATTGTTTAAAATGTCATGAATAAATATAATAGATTGAATTTTTTGTTCTAAAAGAAATAAAATTATTTTTTTTTTTAAGTGATGGTAAAGTTGATAGATATTATGGCAAAAATGACATCATGGACTAAATTGAATTAATTATCAAAATGAATTATTTATAATAAAAATTTTACATAGATTGAAAAAACAAAAAGTGTCATTTAACAAAGCCCCAATAATTCTTTGATCACTGAATTGAGATAACCTCACTTTGATGAATTATGAAAGAAATAATTTTTAAAGTTTATCAATGGATTTTTGTTCAAACTTTACTACTACTACTTACTATCATTGTTTCATTTGTCTTTTTCTTTAAATGAAGGAGAAGGTTAACTTTGATTTTAATAGTTTATTTAAATGTTGTTGAACACAAAAAGAAATAAAACCTTTTTATTGTAGTTTTTGAGCCCTTTTGGATATTTTGTATGTTAAATTTTGATTGTGTATCACATATCATGTATAATAATAATGTGTTAATGCCAAAATGTTAATCGATTAACTTTATTTCTTCTTCTATCAAAGGATTAACCTCCACCTTAATTGGTACAGTTTTATTAACTTCATTAACTGAAACCAAACAAACATATTTTCCAATTCTGATTATTTCATTTGAATCGATATTCTGCCATTTTGCATTACTTTTGTCAATAACAATATCACCATATTCTTGAATTTTCCCTAAAACTTCTTCTAATTTTAAAGGTCTTTTCAACTCGGTGGTACTACGAGCAGCATTTGCCAATTGACATTCAAAAGTTATTGTAGGAATGTGATTTAGTATAGAAAGTTTCGTCAACAAGTCATGGAAATATTTTAAGAGAAATTCTAATTTTTCTTTATTTTTTTCCTTCCTCTTTGATAAATGTAAAGTATAAAATAATTTTTATTAATAACAATCATTTTTGATAAATAAAAATATATTATATGTTCATCTTTATTTCTTTGTTACGTACATCATATGATTTTCCTAGTAATGCAAGAGTAATATGTCCTCCAGAAAACAGTTTATACATTTCTTCCGGACTCTGCAAAGTTTTCTTTACTTTTCCTTCCAGTATGTAATAATTGGCCACTCTTTTAGGGAACAAAGCATGTCTCATATAACCTTTATAATTATAATTATATTTATCATGATTAGAGATTGGAACCATTGACCATTTATATTTTTTAAAAAAATAAACACATTTACCAATTTCATTCCTTAAATCTGAAATAATATAATAAATGAGAAAACTGACCTGGCCAAACATAAACTACATCACCTGTACTTTCAATAAAGCGAAAAGTGAAAAAAAAGTAAAACATCATCATAGATAATAATACAAATATAATATTTATTATTGCTAATTTAAACAATTACTTTTCTTTTCAACAAAAATAATAATAATAATAATTTTATTATTTTTCTTTGCAACCTGGATTTCCAAGCTTTGGATCTGGTTTCAATAATTCCACAGGAATTTTCTGTTTTCTTTCATGACTACTTCTAATCAATAATGGCGTTTTTGATTGTTTAAAAGGTAGTTTTTTAAATTTTGATGTAAACCAAAATAACATGGTAAAAATTTTTTTGCAAAATTTTTTTTTGATAAATTTTTATTTATCTAACGTGACACGAACACAAACCAACCAATTCTTTAAAAAAATTAAATATTCCTCTGAAAGCAGATTAGAGAAGAAACTCTAAACAAAATCAAAAGGTAATATGTATAATTAAATAAATATTCCCCTTATCTCCCTATGAGAATTTGTAAGTTCATTCCCAAGTTGCAGTGTTGAACAATACACTATCAATATCAATTGTAATGTACAAAATGAAAAACGTCACATAATGATGCCTGGGGAATGAAGATGAAACAGTTAAAAAAATGAATAAGTTCTCTCTCTCTATATATATATATAACAGATCTTCCTATATATAACAATAACGGACCGAGAATTTAAGACCAATTCACATGACCATATATAAATTATTATTGTTTATAACAGGTTCTCACTCTAGCCATAATGGACTGAAAATCTAAGCCCAAATTTATATGTACATATATAAATTATTATTATAACGGGCATTTTTTTCCAAGCCAAATGGTCCATCATATAAGGTGAACTATAAATAGGAAAAAAATTAATATTTTCTAGACGAATTTTAAAATTTTTAGAATGAATTGCTTTGAACTGGATTGCGAAAAGCAAATTTTGGAAAGCGCATGTCTATGCAAGTAAATGAACTTCTAAGAGCCTATTTTGTCAGGAAATGTAGATAAGATGAATAGATTCACTGCTGAAACGATGCTTGTAAATCTAAAACAAAGAGTAGAATTGGATAACACGTTTTAGTAGAGAACATAAAGAAAAGAATCAGCCGAAAAAGAATTGGACATTTATTCCATAAAAAAAAATACGAACCCAGTATTATGCGTAATGGATCTTTATACCCATAATCCCCCCAATCAAGATTGATAAAAATGTCAGTCTATTGATATCCCAAATGTTTTGTTTTACAAAAAATGATGATGTCACAATAAGATACAAATGCGCCCGTCGATCACTAACACCTGATCACGAATTAATCTTTTGATCATTGACGAGTCCGCCCCCATTAAAATTCCCTAAAAGGAAAATTCTTAACTATTTTTTTAGTTTCAGCGCAGATCATCTATTGATTAGTATTATAATATTATTACATGTGATTCAAAATATGGTAACACGAAAATACTTCAATACAACTTGAATTTCTTTGATATTAAAAAAAAAGAGACTAATTTTTTTTTAGATGAATTGACTTCTTTTATTTCTTTAACTTTTGAGTATAGATGATCTACACTGCATGATAAAAACCATTATGATGATAAAAAAACAAACACGCTAGTACTAGATTTAATAATCAACTGTTAAGATTAATTATGATTTTGGCTGGCTTAATTTGGCATCTAATATTAAACATCTTATGATTTTATAAAAATAGAATTTTAAAGACAAATTTTGTATACATATATGATGAATTATTTATAAATTATTATTAAAACGAATTTGGCCACAATTAAATCTATTTAATAAATTTCGTATTTTTAAAAATTCTTTATAACGTAGAAAAAAATTATTTTTCCGCTCGTAAAATTTTTTTCTAATTGTAAATTATAAAATTTACACACACACACACACACATATATAATTTTTGAAAAAATGGTTTTTTCTACAGACTATTGGGCTCCCGCGCTTGATAATAAATCTCGTCGTCGTATAACAGCTGCAAAATTTATTAATAACCATAATAAAGAAAATAAAGAAATAAAAACGAAATCATCATCATTACTCGATAATAA